AATACCTCAGTGAATTTACGATTTACAAAAAATAGTAATGTTTAAACTCAAATCGCAAGTGTTAAATGCTCTTAAAGGTTGTTTGGTCATTAACTATCCAACTTAAGAACTTCAGAAACGTGGAAATCCGCAAAAAGCATTTATCTGTACAGACAAAGGTAGGAATACAACAACTGACTAGAGTAAGATCAACTAGAAGAAAAACCGCTACAATTTCACGAGACCACAACAATGTTAAACAAAAAGAAGTATGGCAAAGTGACCTTTATAAACAACCACTGAGACAAGTAAAAATAATGGTCTCAAAAATACAACAACCTCATCAAGTTCACAAAATAATACCGTAATTTGGCTGCAGGAAGCCACCAAGAAGTCTACAAAACAGCAGGATTAGAAACTAAACCACAGCTATGTCTAGCATTTTCTGCCCAAAGAAACTGCCAAAATCAGCCTGCTTCTTCCTAAATAACTTAAAAGCTTTGAAGTAATCAAACTTTCTAAACAATAATCAATCAACAGTATACTTTCCACAGACACGCACATATTACGAATCCAACATTCAAATTTAAAAACGATGCCCCAATCACTTACAAACTGAGTGTCCTATCAAATAAGTATCCCTATATCGCAATTTAACCACCATTATATCAGTCTTAAGTGTTAGAATACTTAAGCATGCAAGATTTGTGAAATATTTACAAGGAATTAAAACAAAATTAATCACGCATAACCGGTAATCGGAAGGTACCCAAAAAATATGCGGCTGAGACCGCCTTAATGTTACTAAAATTACATTCTGAAGACCCTACTTTCGACCCAGTATTTTGCAAAGAAACATCAAACGAAATAATACCTTACAACTAAAACGACTCTGTAAAGTATTCAAGTGCAGCTACAAAAGTCAGCCCGTAACTTACGAGTTAAAACTGTCCAATTTCTGCAAAATTTCTTCGATTCAGCCCGTAAAACTAGAAAAACTTTAATAGACTGTTGGTCAAAACCGGCTTCCCGAAAGCAATGCCAATGTCCACAACCTTCCGCAACTGCTCAGAAAATAAGTTGTAAGAAACGTAAGGAATCTACCTTTACAATGCTCAATGGCAGCAAAAAATTCCAAATGCACAAACGACCGTTTCAAACAAGGAACACGAATCTCCATTCAGTTTTCCAATAACACAGGAAATCTACCAGATGAACTGCTTTTTTTATCCTGTTTCCTCTAACTGGCTTAGCATTAAATAAATTTTTCCTAGATCTTGTCGTATCATCGTCTTTTAACATCTTCTATTTTACTCAATCCACTGCAACAAAATAACTAGACAAATAAGGGCTAAATAACACTCACCAAATTCAACCAAAACTGGCATGTCGAAAAGCCGGAAAACTCTTTGTAACCTGTTATCACACGCAGGCCTACTGAAGTTTTTAAAAACTCTAGATCCTTCGAAGAGAAAGGAAAACGATTAGATAAAAAAAACCTACAAACATGCAAATGAAATAACAATACTAACAAGGACGATGTCACAGAACCAAGACCAACTGTATAACCGATTTGGCTTTGAGGTTCAAACTAGAATGTGCAACACCCAGTCACTCAATCATTCCTGCCCCACTCTGCAAACATTATCTGCTGCGAAATGGAATTTTACTGTTATACAGGAAAATCGAGAATCTTGAATACTGAAAAGAAGCATTTCTTTGAGCCAATTACTGCGTACAGTGTAAAATGAAGCAGACTGAAATTGCTCTTGAGGAAATGCTCAACGAATCCTTCCAATAGTCACAACGATTATTAGTAACAAAAAACCATAAAGAGTATGAAACAAACCTTCCTCCAAATCACTTTTATCAACCTTTAAGACGATGGGAAAGACATACAATATTATGGATAACAATAAAGCACCAAAAACATCTATGATATCTTTAAACGTAAAAAACTGAAACGGCTGTTCCAGCACTATTTGTTACCTCTTTGAAGAAAGTCCGGTTCTGAATTACTCTGCTGTGACCAACCAAGATTTATAACCGCTATACAAAACAATCACTCGTCCTCTAAACCTCTCACTCAATGATTTACTAATTCATCAAATCACTAGCTTACAGATGGTGGGAAAGACGGTTTCTGTAATTGTGTAGCAGGAGCTCCAACTCCTGTTCGTGTGCTGTGAACCGATGATGACAAAGCATCATCTGAAAATTGCTTCCCTTGTAAAACACTAGTTGGCTGGGCAACATCAGACTCCTGCTCAACATCTTCAGAATTAATCGTCGGATCGACTTGAGAATCTGCAAAGTGAAAAAATTGAGGAAAATGCCATACACTGACTGATTTTGGAATGAATTACCTAAATGTCTTAATACTGCGGTCCTCTTATGTTGTAAAAAACGATAATAATTCCGTTTCAACCAAAAATGACTGCATTACTGAGGGAAACACAACATAAGATCGGGATAAAGAATAGGACTAACACGAGTAAAGACAACAACTCTCGATCACTTTGACAGAATGCATAAAACAGAAAGAAACGATAAGCTGAAAAGTAATTACTACTAAGCATACAACAAGCGTCAACCTTCGACAAACTCCACCAAACTAAAAAAATTATGAATAGATCAATAAGGGCAATAACTTGCGCAACATATTTCTTCCAAGAAGGAAGAACGAAACAAATGAGGAGCTTAGAACAACTCCAATCAAACCTATAAAAGAATGTTATGAAACCAAAAAGGAAGTAATCACTTCACAACACTGTAAATGATGAAAAATATCTCAATTTTACAAAAAGGGGAAACTGTTACCCTCAAAATAAACCACAGCAAACAAATATAATAGACAAACCTTCCCCTAAGTTAGCCGAAACAGTTTTCTAGAATACCGGAAACTGACTGATTTGTGACAGTACAACTTCTTAATACTTTAAAAATGAGAAAAATACAACACCAGCAACTGTCTACCTTAGTTCTAGAGACAAAAGCATGTGTTCTAAAAGCCCACCTACGAAATATTAAACCCCCATCTATCATAATAGGCCAAGCTAATCCTAATACCCCCCTCAACTACCTTCAAATCTTTTCGGAGGTTGGAAGGAACAGTTAATATAGTGAAAACTTTAGACCCCAAAAACCAACCCGACTTTCTTCCTTCCACTCCCAAAAAAGAGGCAAACAAATAAGGGGAAAAAAGTTAAAGATGGCGAGGAGAAAGAAACAATGGAATGTATTACGAACCCGAGGCTGACTAGAGCGTCGGCAAAAGTTAAGCAATTTTAAAAAAAACCTCGAAAAACGTAGCCCCCTGAAATCTCAGCTAAACAGAATCCAAAAAAACCTTATTATTTGACAGTCAGATAAACGTTGACTCTAAAATTCCCAGCACAACCGTTGAAACCCCACATACTAAAATAAAATAATTTAATTTTGGCATTAAGACACACGAAAACAATTACAAAGGAATAAATCTCCGAATAATTAAAGCGTACCGGAATCTTTCTGCTTCCACTCTTGAAAACCGTACTGACTTCAAACAGGTACTGAGGGTCCAATAGAATAAAAACGCACACAGATTAAAGAGTAATTGGTATGTTCGTTTACATATACGCAAACTTTATTAACAACTTCAAACAAAGAAGGCCATTGCATAACAAAGTTTAGCAAAACAAAAGACACATAAAAACCAAATTTATATGAAGTATAACTCCCGATACAGTCATGCCCCCCTAATAATTAACCTCGTGCGTCAAACAAGAATTTAAAGTGAAAGAACAAAAATAAGCTTCTATAATGTAGGAAACAGTAGCTCCGTCTGAGGCGTGGAGATAAACCGCTAAAGGAAAATTTCCCTCTTTAAAATAACTCTCAAACCAAATAAGGAAAAAATCCTTTGTCCACACTAAAGGAGAAATAAGTAGTAGTCCAAACAAACTGACTAGACTTCGTTAAAGTCAATTTATTTTGGACCATGATGACCACAGCTGAAATCTTATTAAAAAGCAGAAGCAAAACAATTTGAAAAGATAAAGAACTCAACGAGAAGAAAAACACCCACTAGAATCCCGCCGTTCACAAGGAGCAGAAGCTGAAGAAACTTGATCTGATGAAACCGCATCCACTTTCTTATGTTCAAATGATGCAAGTTGACCAAGCAAACGTGTCAGTT